TCAATTTTTAAGAAATTAAAACTTACACAATTCTTTAGGATATTAAATCCAATTTGCATTTGGGCATGCAATGGTTAATTTAGTATTATAAGGTATAATACTTAAAAGAAAATTCAAAGTAAAAACTTTACTTGTTCTTCAGGTGAAGATAAATCCAACGATTTTTTGTTAAACTTGCTCATACTACAGGTGAGAACGGAACAATAGCGGTTAACCTGAAAATTAATAGCGAGCAATAGCCAAGCCTCTTTTACTATAAATTCACGTTGGGCGTCAAATTATAAGGGGTGTGACCCAATGTAATAAAGGGACACGCGGGGAAGGGGTTCTTAATTAAGTCCACTAGTTAATTAAACACGTTTATTAGACAAAACAAAAACATTTACATACATAACTAGAGAACTAACAGTTATAATAGAATTGAAAGGGGTCGGAGCGCATGCTCGTACGTCCTTACAGTTCCGAAGCTTGGCCATTACTGAAGATTGTTCTAGCCGCTAGAGGGCGCGATAGTCTTTCTACTGTTCATATGAGAAGAGTTTAAACTACGGGGGGTTACAAGTTCTGGTTTAACTGCAATTTTTGAATACAGTTTGGTCTTTAGATTTAAGATTATTTTTTCTTTTCGTCGCAAAATGTGTATTTTTATTTCGAATGTTCTAAAAAAATTCAGTCATGATATTATGAATGGTAAGCAGCATGCTTTAATTAGTCAATAGAGAAACATTCGAAATATTAGGAATAAGAGAAGAAAAACATCAAGATTAAGAAAATATTTTCATATAGAGCAATTCAGTGTTCTTTTCAATTTCACATAGAAAAACTGTGGACTCCACTTTTAATATTTATTGTATATAATAAAAAATATATTTTACTTTACATCTGAAATCGTTAAATAAATTTTGACACGAAAGAAGAAGTATTTGACTTCTTTGTGGCAAAGTAATTCAAGCTGCTGTCATGGTACAGAAATAAACTGTCACTGATAGCTTTTATCACTTTCAAAATAAACAAAATGGCTCTTAGTTTTAAATGTATATAAAACATTTCACATAAGATATATTTTGTACAAATTTTGATTCATCATGGCAAGAAAAAAATATATTCCTTTGAAAAGAATTAACAAATGTCTTTAAGAGTTATCGTTAATAAATTACTTCACTTTTAGATGCATGGAAAGGAAAACAATTGTATTTTCTTTTAAATAATAATAGTTGTAGTCTTAATTATTTCAATGTAAATTGAATACAAAAAAGAGAAAAGAAACTCACATTTGCTATGAATCTTCTTTCATTTAATGCAAATTTCACCTTAGAAAACAGACAGAAATCGCATGGCACTATATCCAGTAAATAAAATGGATGATCTAACACTAAGATGCCGTCCTTGGTGAAAAACCTCTTGACAGACAATGGGGAATGAGCTAGGGATGGCGATTCTTTTCGAAAAAGATCAATTTTTAAATCGATTCGAATCGTAACCTGTGAATCGATTCACAAAAATATCGAGGTCTAAAAGATCGATTTCTAAAACATCGATTTTTTTTCAGGTCTTCATTTCCAATATAAATATAAATCCATTTTATGAAAAACAAGAAAGATACCATAATAAATGATCTCTTATCAGTAAAATCAGGGGATTTTTTTTTATTTCAGAGAATTCGACAACTACAATTGTTTTATTTATTATATCAAAGCATCAGGTATAAAAGAAGACATTTATTTTCTAAATGTATTTGTTACATTAAAAAGTTTAGAAAATATATTTTATAGCTCATATTTCTCAATGCTTAATATATATCTAAACTTTTTTAAAAACAACAGTCTCTCAACTCTACTGGGATCTAAGTGGTTCCACTCATCACTTGCGATGTTGCCGGCAATCGAAAAAAGGCGCTCACACAAGGAACAGATGATCTCACGATACTCATATAGATCATGGCTATAGAGTGAACATGATGATAGAGTATTTTTGTTCTTGCCAGTAAAGTATAGGATCATACTTCAGGTGCACAACTGCCTGCGATAAATAGTGTTTAAATGCTTCGTTTTCTTATGGTTTTTACCAACTTTATGGTTTTTACCAAAACGTAAAAAAAATTGAATGTTGATTTTCTAGGATGAAATATAGATTCACTGAATCGATTAAGCGATTTAAAAAATCAATTTTTTTGGACCGAGAAATCAATTTTTCGATTAATTGGTCTCAGATCGCCATCCCTAGAACGAGCCAACGCATTGTCTTGGAGAACCCCAATGACGTCCTTCCACCATTCGGTTTCGTTTCTTCCCCATTCTTTCACGGAGTTCAGCAAGAGCGTAAATGTAGTAATGATGATTAATAGTTTAACCTTTAGGAAATCAGTGAACTTTCACAAGCCCATGAATATTGAAAAAAAATCATTGCTTTTTGAATTTTGAATTGCTCATGGAATAGAGATTCGCTACAAAAAGAATTTTGGGAAAATCGACCCCTAAGGTGGTTTCGCAGGTTGAGGAGTATGATAGATACATATTTCCGCTTTTGAGCTATGAGAATTACAGACATGAAATTTGGCACACAGACAGTTTCTTTTCATGAAGTAAAGATCCTCTACATAAGGGGTTTTATGGAAAGTGATCTATGAAGGGGGGAGGGTGCAAGGGGTTAAGGGGCTTTGGAGATAAATACATTCCCATTTATAAATTATTAGACCAACGCACTTGAAATTTGGTAAGCATTTTCCTTTGATGGACTAGAGCTGTTCTAAGAACGGGTTTTGCGAAAATCGTCAACCAAAAGTGGGAGCCTTAAGATAAAAATTCATGTTTTTGAACTTTAAGGGGTGTTGGAAAGCTAAAATCTTATTTTTTTGACAATTTGAGATTTTTACATTTTCAAACTGTATAGATTTTAACCTTTCTAAAAACACCTTACTTTAACTTCTAGGGTATTTAGAAGCCTTTAAAACGTATTTTTAAATAATCATTGAATTTGGGCCACGCCCATTTTAATGGCGAAAATTGTAAACAAATTACTTTGTTTTTGCTTAAAAGTGTAACGACTGATATAAACCAAAACATGTATCTTTTATTTTAAATTGAGCCTTTTATTTTTTTATTTCCTAGTCGATTAGAAGTCTCACTGTATACATTAAAATCAATTTATCTCAAAATGTAAATTTTAATGTGCGATGTACCTTTTCTGAGAAACTACTGGTCACAGGTATGTAAATTTTTTATGAATTATTTATAATGATGTCTAATATGTTCTAAAATGAGCTTTTTGTCAAACACTCAAAAATTTAATTTTTACAAATTTTTTAAGTAAAAAATGGGTCAAATTTCGCAATGTTTGATAAAATATTTCATAATTTATTAAAAAATTCAAAATTAGCTAAAAGCTCATTTTAGTATAAGAGAGGTGTACTTTAATATTATGAAAAATTTCAAGCATGTACATAAAACAGATTTTGAGAAAAGGTACATCGAAAACAGCCAATTTAACGTTGTCAGTATAGAGAAACCGAGAGGTTTCCAACTCCCCTTAAGATGCCTAACTTAAAATTTGGTATGCATGTTTCTTTTGTTGAATAGAGATCCGCTAAGAACGGATTTTACGAAAATCAACTCTTATAGAAGGAGCGGGGAATTGTTGGGATGTATTGACAAAAAAATATTCCAATTTTTGAACTACTAAGCCTACAGTAACGTAATTTGGCATGCATGATTCGCTTGGTGAATTGAAATCTGCTAAGAATGGGTCCTACGGATATCGACTCTCAAAGGGGTTTACGGAGATTATTGATAAAAAATAAAACCTATTTTTGAACTATTAGATTTAGATTTTAAAGTTGGCAATCATGTTTATTTTGTTGTGTTGAGATCCGCTGAAAATGGGTTTTCCGAGAATTCGCTTTGGAGGATAGGGTTATGGGAGCGCAAAAGATAACTCTACAGCTTCAGTTATTATTATTTAGAAGTCCTGTCCTTTTTTTATTTAATCAAAAGGTTATAATAATGTTTTTAATACAATCAAACACCTAATGCTAGGACTTAGATATCAATAATTTATAAATACATAAACGGTATATATTCTATATTCATACAAAATTATAAAATACACAGTGAAGCGGGTAGTTTACAGTAGTTAATATTTGTGTTAAGTGACGAAAATGTGTGAATATAAACATATTTCGTTGTACAATGCGATATAGAATTACTTTAATCTTGTAAGTTATGAGCAACTAGATTTTGAAACGCTGGCATGGATTGGATCTCAATTAGAAAATGCGATTAAAAAAGAGTATAACAATAAACATGCTAGGTTTGAATTTTCAATCAAGTTTAATAAGGCCCTGATAATGAGAAATATCAATAACGGTAGTACTTCTGAGAGTTTTCGGAAGTTAAATTTAATTATCAACTCACTAGAAATGTAACAATTCGCTACCAGCAGAATTAATATTGTTTTTCGCTCAAAAGACAACGGAGGCAACGGCTGTAATTACAAAGCCTTTGATTTATTAAAAAATTTCTAATCGGAAATGAGAGATACTAAAATTTACAACAATAAAAAGGACTTTAAGATCTGTTATCAAATTTACAAGTATTGAGAAACTCCTCTGTGAAAAGTCGATGCTGTAAGAAAAATAATAGGTGTGTATAAATCGGATAGAATCTCAGCTGTTTCTTTATTTGATTGGACAAGACAATCAGAAGAATAATAGCGAGTGATATTTCTCTCCTTTTTCAACTCCTACTATTAGTTCACTCTCTTCCTATTTATATTTATATATATATCTTGTTCACAAATTTTCAATCGTTAATAAAATACTTTCTATACATCCATTCAAGTCTATATACAATTTTGGAGGACACTTGATGTTAATACATTTTTTTCAAATATCAATTCAAAAATTAAATTAAATAATGAATAAATAGTAACAAGCAAAAATAATAGTCCAACAGCATATATATAGATATATTTATAGAGAGAGAGAGAGAGAAATCGTTCATTGTGTCCTTGTAGCGCAATGTATTGCGCGTTGAACTTCTAATCTAAAGGTCGTGGTGATGAATACCACCTGGGATGGCCAAATTTCTGAGAATGTAATTTCTCTTTTACTATACTATTTTGTTGGAATAATTAAATTTAATGAATGAATAAATATTAAAAAAATAGTCCAACACACTATATAGAAAGGAAAATTGCTTTTTATTTTGTCTCTTAATACTGTGATTCTGTCGTATGTATATATACATATTTATATTAATTGAAGCTACTTAATAAAAAGTAGCTAAAACAAAATTTTTCTTTGTTGACTTAAGTAGGAATTGACTTAATTTTTTATTGTTTTTCTAAATTTAAATTGCAGTTGAACCGATTATACTCGTGTGTTCTTCACGCTTGCTGAATATTCTTTTTATTTTTGTATATAGATTTAAATATTTCTGATATTTTCATTATCCACAAGACGTCATGTATTAATTAAATAAAATGCATTATAAATGGCTAGTTTAGTTGTGCAGAAATGGCTTAGCTCTGTAGAATTAACGGAACGATTTCTTTTTTAAACTTAAGTATCCGTTTTATTATTTTTGTGCTCCTTTTTTAAAAAGCTTCTCCTTTCGCCAGTTAACCTCGTTAATTTCCCTTCTTCTTAACTTCGTTATTCTATTAACTACTAAAACACTTTTATTACTTATCTTTTTTTACGTTCTCAGAGAATAAGATTTTACTGCTATACGAATGTTAACTGAATAATTTATTTCATTCTAACTGGCTCTTTCCGGTATTTTCCTGTAATTAGGAATTTTTTTTTGTCTTTAGGATCTGCTGCTAAATGTGAAACTCTTCTTTTGTGAATGTCACTTTTTTCTCATTCTAGTAGAAAACTTCCGCTGATTTGAATGAAGCGTTACACACACATATTTGAACTTTAATAATAAAATTATTTCTGTCAACTAATAGCAGACAATTCAATTTAGATATTTTGAAAATAATAAAAAACATGAAAAAAAATGAAATTAATACGTTGGAAAACGTGTCAGGCTCGTTTTTGTTGTTGGTGTTTTATTCAAATCCTACTAATAGTTCACTCTCTCCCTATATATCTTGTTCAAATTTTCAATTGTTAATAAAATACTTTCTATTTATCCATTCAAGTCCATGTACATTTTTGAAACTTGTAGTGGATTACATTTAATGTTAATACAGTTCTTTTAAATATTAATTCATTAACTAAATTTTATTTTTTAATTTTAAATTTATTCTGCGTTATTTCTGCCTAATTTACAACTGGCTGCAACAGATAGCGCCAGTACGTTTGTCTAACGAAGTAGGAGTTGACTTAAATTATTTTTTTAAATTACTTGTTTTGTCGTCATTTTAATCTGTTCTATAAATTTTTTCCCACTAGGCTTACGTTCATTTTCTTCAGTACTCGTAAGCATATGTGCAAAGAAATAAAGTGAGCTGAATTTCACATATTTTCATATACAACCAGGTTTTTGAACACAATAAAAGAGAGATATTATTGTTGTGAATTGCGTTACCTCCTAAAAACGAATAGCTGTCAATCAAAATAACTGATTTAAACTGAATTAAGTGGAACAGAGGTTCTTAAACATTCGATCGCCACGCACCCCTTTTATGTAGACCCCCTTCAAGAGATTTGAACAACCCTACCTTACTCGCACAACACATGTTTCAGTAATTTAAAGGTTTCTGAATAATCCTAAGATTGACTCTGTTACTGGTATAAACTTTTTAACGCTTCTTTTTCGGGTAGAAAACAGTAAGCATATAATCATATTTAAAAATATTACGAAATACTAATTTTAAATGTAATATAAATAATGTTCTTTAATGTATTAATTGAAATTTTGAATGAGAATGATAGTGCTGACTTTTTTTACATTTTTGTTAATCAGGTGTAATATTTGAAATATTCAGGTGAACATGTATTTTCCCCCTACTATATATATATAAATATTACGTTGTAGTAATGTCTATGTAGTTGCAAACAATAAAAAACTTGATTAATATTTCTGATGAAAATACATGTTCCAATAGAGTTTTTTCATTGGGGGCAATTTAGCGATCTTGTCTACATTGGCAAGCCTTTCTATTTTTCCATGGAGCCTTTTATAGTAGGTAAAAAATTAAATGAGAGAACTCGACCTAGATAGGCTCTGAGCCCACCCGGGGGTCCACCGACCACAGTTTAAGAAGCACTGAACTAGAACATGAATTCAAGAGAATGTACCCAGTTTCATGAATAACTAATATGAAACATACATTTTACCTTTTTTAGGTAAATCATTCTGCTTATCTTTAGTTAAAACTTTTTCTTTACCTCTCAAGTTGAAATTCTGCACAATTAGCGAATTACCGTAAAATTCGGAGTATATAACGCGCACCTATACTTTCAAGCTGCATTTTTTAATTTTAAGGTTGCTGTTTTTGTTGCTACTAATGCCACCTGATCGGCAAAGGCCAGATCAAAATCCACGAAATTCATCATGGTAAAGGGGTAAGTGACGCCTGTCGTTAGCCGCAGCCGTATAACGCACACCCCTTTTTTACGAAGGAACCTGTAATGTACGTTAACAATGCTACTATGTTTTAAGACATTTATTCGAGGTATTACCCCAGGATTTTGAAAAAATAGTGCATTTCTAGAAAAACAACCCTTATAAGTCCATAAGGTATAACATTTTTCTTTTAAATAAACAGTATTCCGATCTTTGTAGAAGTAAAAGTGTTTTTTTATGCAAATTTATTATTTTTATTTTTGAAGCTATCCTTTTTATACCTGGCGCATAACTCGCACCCGTAAATTTCGATCTAATTTTTTGTGTTAAGAGTGCGTGTTGTACGCCGGATTTTACAGTATATAACAATCGCGTTCAAATGAAACACATTTTGAAATCCGAAAAACTAAAAATTCCTTATAAACGCTAGTAATGAGGCCCCAAGAGAGCCTACAGGTCATCATCTCCCTTATTCAAGCAACTATCCCAATGTAGCACAAATTTTGCTACGCCTTTTTGAAGATCGACGAAGGTGGATGATGTCTCCATTCTCCCGTATCATTACGCATCACTTGATCACAGGTGAAGCGCTGTCTTTCATGGCTTTTTTAAAGTACTAAACACATTGTGATCCCAAAGGGATAGATCTGTTCGGTATGGTGGGTGGTATAGAATCAATCTCTTATAGAATTGTATTGAACTAAGATTGTAAGGTTAAACATTGTCATGGCCAGCAAGACTTTCCCTGTATTTGCCTATAAAATTAGGATATATGGAAAAGGAAATAGTGTAAAAATAAGTTTCTAAAATTCACTGTTTTTGAGTATGCCTTAGAAAAGTATGCAGTGTCACCACGAATCTCTATGGAGTACTTTTACGGAGATATATAATGAGGGGACAGATTTCAGATGGCCTTTACAAATAAATAAGTGAAACTAATAGTCATCACTATTAATTACTTGTAGTTCATAATTGTCTATTTTTGTTTGCTTAGACGTAAAATGAACAAAAATCATAAGAAAAATACATAACAATGTGTAGTATTTTTTGAATTTTTATGAGAAGAGAAGAGAACTATAATATATATATATATATATATATATATATATATATATATATATATATAATATTCCTATTATATTCCTTTTGATTAGTTAAACTAATTGTAAGACGTGGCGAGTGGGTGATTAAATAATGGAGAACCAAAGGTTGGGCGTGGCTGGTGGTGTGATTTTCTATGTTACGTGGATCATGGTCGAGTACGATAGGATCGAAGTGGCACTCATGGAAATCGAAATTCCTTTTTATTCACATCCACACACACAGAAACACATAAAGATCCAGTAGGGACGGCATTACACATACAAGAAGCAAACATGGACGACAGAACACAGACAAAGACACGCTGCAGCTGGCTACATGACTACAGAGAAACGAGCGAAGAGGGCGCGGTTTCCAGAGACATCGGTTTTTATAGCTGAAGTTGAAGACCACGTGACATTTTTGCAATAAGAGCTCTGATTGGTTACAAGGGGCGGGAAAGGGATTTATGATGTAATATTATTAGTCGATTACGATTAAAATCAGGGTGTTAGTTTCGAACCAAATAATTAAAAGATTATTTCAATATTATTAAAAAGAGTTAATTAAAAGAATGCTAGGGGAATTTTTACATATATATATAATTATTTAAATATATATATGTATATATTCCTGTGCAATTATTCGTCATTACCAGACATTTGTTTTTATTTGTTCAAATATACATTATTGTCCAAAATTATACTTACCGAATAACACAAAATGAATGAGAATACACAGTAATATATTATTGCACGATACAATTAACCTAACAATAATACAGCCTGCGAAAGTTTTATCATCGGAGCCAATTGATTTGACAGTTGTATTTTCTAAACATTCCCTCTTACATAATTGCGTACGGCATGCTTTCTATTTTGACATTCTGTACGAAAAATAAGAATAAAATTATAATTATAAATATGACAATCATTAAGTTTAAAGTGGGAAAAAATATTTCCTTTAGTAGTGAAAGCCTTTATATACACAATATGAAACAAGAATTATATAGGGCATATTCTAAATAGTTACAATTTCCCTTTTTTTCCTCATGAAAGATCGTAATGGAATACAGATTCAATCTTCCGACATGAAATATCCGTCCCTAGTCACGAAGATCCATTTTTACTCCTGTATACTTAATAAATATGACTTCAAATAGCCATAAATGCAATGGAACATATAAATTATTACCAAATTTTTTCAGTCTTTATACTTATTCGTAATGCTTATTTTCTTCATATTGTGTTTCAAGGTCATTTAACACTTTATCTACCTCAATATGATTAAATGCAATACTTTTTTTAATCCTTGCATTCAAAATTTAGGGATATACATAAAATACTCAAATTTGGGAAATTTAATCCGTTAGAGCTGATTAATTAAATTGGTATTTTTAAGTATCATCAGTACACGGAGGTTTAAAATATTCTTCTAATGAAAATGACCGCACGACTTCTTTAACGGAGTTTTAAC